CAGCATTATGTAAGTCAGCTTTCTCTTCTCCGGCAACGGCTACAACTGTGGAAGTTTGTTCTATGGAGCATGAAGTTGTGATTGCTTTGGGAAGTAACATTGGAAACAGGATGGATAATTTCAGAGAGGCTTTACGATTGATGAAGCGTAGTGGCATTTGTGTAACGAGGCACAGTTGTTTGTACGAAACTGCGCCTGTTCATGTGACTGACCAACCAAGGTTTCTCAATGCTGCAGTGAGAGGTGTCACCAAGCTTGGACCTCATGAGCTATTGACTGCTCTCAAGAAAATTGAAAGAGACATGGGACGTGAGGATGGTATACGGTATGGACCAAGACCACTTGACTTGGATATATTGTTCTACGGTAAGCTGAGAGTAAGTTCTGATAAGCTGATCATACCACATGAGAGACTCTGGGAAAGGTCATTTGTATTGGCACCTTTGGTAGATTTGCTTGGATCAGCTGTTGATAATGATACGGTTGCACATTGGCATTCGCTCGCTATACAACCCGGTGGAATTTTCCAAGCGTGGGAGAGACTGGGTGGCGAATCACTGATCGGACAAGATGGTATACAAAGGGTTTTTCCAATAGGAGATAAACTGTGGGATTTTACTAACAAAACTCATGTGATGGGTATACTTAATCTTACCCCTGACAGCTTTAGTGATGGTGGACAATTTCAGTCAGTAGATTCTGCAGTTTCTCGGGTTCGTTCAATGATCTCTGAGGGCGCAGATATAATTGATATCGGAGCACAGTCCACACGACCAATGGCATCGAGGATTTCCAGTCAAGAAGAGTTAGATAGACTACTACCAGTTTTAGAGGCTGTCCGTGGTATGCCAGAGATGGAGGAAAAGCTCATATCCGTGGACACTTTCAACTCTGAGGTTGCTTCAGAAGCAATAAGCAATGGAGCTGACATTCTAAATGATGTATCTGCGGGAAGTTTAGACCCGAATATGCGTAAGGTTGTTGCAGAATCTGGGGTTCCTTATATGGCCATGCACATGAGAGGAGATCCATGTACAATGCAGAACAAAGAGAATTTGCAGTACAATGATGTCTGCAAGGATGTTGCTTCTGAACTCTACATGCGAATAAGAGATGCAGAACTTTCGGGGATTCCAGCTTGGAGGGTTATGATTGACCCTGGAGTTGGGTTTTCGAAGAAAGTAGATCATAATCTAGATATTATCATGGATCTGCCAAAAATTAGAGAAGAGATGGTTAAGAGAAGCATAGCAGTGTCTCATGCGCCTATACTCATAGGACCTTCGAGGAAGAGATTTTTGGGAGATATTTGTGGGCGTCCTGAGGCCACTGACAGAGATGCTGCAACTGTTGCTTCTGTTACTGCAGGCATTTTAGGAGGTGCCAATATCATTAGAGTTCATAATGTTAGAGATAACGCAGACGCAGCAAAGGTATGCGATGCAATGATGAGAAGAAGAAGGTCAAAAGGGTGATTACCTGATATAATTATAAGCCTAATATAAGGATCTGTTCCAGATTTATACAACAGTTTTGCAAGCTGGTTGCTAGTTAAGAACAAAATGCCGAGTGAGGCACGATTTCTGCTTTGGTCTTGTGCGGCTGGTGTAGAATCAAGCAAGATGGTGGGTATGATGAGTGATTGGTGAAATGAGCTAGCAAAACACATACATACAGAGTTTCCAATTTCCAGAACACTGTCAAACTGTGGATAAGCAATAGCATTTTCAATTTTCTTTCTTTCTCTTCTAAATTTTTTACCTGGGTGAACAATGTTGTACTAGAACAAAGGTTTGTATCTGGGGATACATTTTTTTCATTTGGTTCTGAATGATACATGATTCCACGTCTACGAAAGAGTTAGCAGTTAACATGGAGTACAACATCATGCGGAACATGGCGCTCGTTGTCTACCTAAATCTCCTACTAGACGACTTATCTTAAAACTGGAGCAGGAGCCAAAGAAGACTGGTTTTTATTTTAGTATTTGTACAGGTTAAAACTCTATTTCTATCATAACCACATTTTCTTCATTTTACAGCTACAAAGAAGATGAATCCTGGTTTTTGAGATAGTAGACGAAGACCAGTACAGGCCATTTTCCTAAGAAAGATCTGATATAAATTTTTTAGCAGCTGACACTTGCAATTATTATAGGTTCTTTTTCAGTAGTCCATGAAGATTATCTTTCATTTGTTTACTAGTTGTCAACTTTTGCAAGTATCAATTTGAAGGGACCAAACTAAATCAAACAATGTTGTTCCTTCAATTAGGTTGAAGGACACTTTCCTAAAATGGCTGTCAAAGGATTCATACATTTTCCGAGAAAAAGGTATTAGCTTATTCTTTCATTGTTACCTCCATGGACATTTATTTAATAAAAGATCTTTGTTTTTGGTTTCAACTTTCCTCCATCGATCTAACTCGGAAGACCCATTACATATCATTGTGTACTATCAATCAATCTAGAGATGGCTAACCATATACATAATGCCAAGATATAGCAATGACTAAACCAAGTTGTTGTACAACGAATTTATCCGGTTAATCYAMMMCAASMSTKGATTCTAACCCAAAGATACTAGTTTGGATCTAGTTACAAAGATCCTAGTTACCCATATAAATTGCAACTCTAGGAAATTTTTTGATGAAACCATAAAACAAAACCACCTAAAGCGTTGACATGGTATTTGTCATAATTTACAAAGATGCTTATTTGACTTTTGTTTATGTATATTACATTGCAATTGTATAGAGACCCAAGTCACCCAACATGGCAATACAATAACTTATATGGAGTTGAAGCTGATACACGTCATTAGCTGTCTTTTGCTCTTGGATAGCCTTTATATTGCATGAGAGAACATAGTCCATAAGAAAGTAATCAAAATCATTTGCTGATAATGGTACGTCTAAGTTTGTGCTTGACATCCATC